TGGTAATTTTACTCTATCATTCTGGGCATGCTTTTTGATAAAGATTTATGCTTTTATGAGTCTATTGGCACTGATTGGTTTCTATAGCAACGGGTGTTGTTTCAGGTTCTTTGTAAGGCAGTATTGTTATTTTTTTTCCACCTTCACTGGTGTTATATTTTAATACAAACTATTCTAATATTGGATAAATTGTGCTATTACTCTGGTCAGTCAGATATTGCTATTATTTAAGGAGAGAGAAAACTGTTAGTGAGAAAGCATATTGTATATTTAGATTGCAAAGTTGAACTGAAGAAGAAAATAAAATTATATGGTTGTTTGAAATCACACATTTTCATTAAATAACAACATCATGGCATATTGATGATAGCAATTAAATATGGCAGTTTCATCACAATTTACGGCAACTGTATATTTAGATTGCAAAGTTGAACTGAAGAAGAAAATAAAATTATATGGTTGTTTGAAATCACACATTTTCATTAAATAACAACATCATGGCATATTGATGATAGCAATTATATAACCAAAATAAGAAGCCATCATAGCAGCTCTCTCCATTTACTCAAATACGATATAACCATGTTTTCCGATCTTGATGTTACTGCTATGACTTTTCACCCTCCTGTTAGCACAAATCACACTTTTTTGCTATTTGATATTTACACATATTTCTCATATATTCTTTCTACTTATTTTTAGTGTATGATTATTGTGAATATTTGATTTAACTGGAAGGCCTCTTTTCATTGTTTTCGGTTTTGATTTATTGTAATACATTTCACTTTCTAAAATAATGCATCCCTCTCGTTAAAGAAAAAGAGAGATAAGAAATTTTAAACTAAGGAAAACGTGTCTTTCTATAATGGTTCTGTACTCAGTTAATTTTGTTTTGAAAATGGTATTATTATATTTATTTTTTAAAGATTTTGTGACAGGTGTATTATATATACTTTCTTGTATTGTCCCATTTTATGCAACACAAGAAAATAATGTTTGCTAAATAATTTATTTTCTTATATCTGATATATTCATATAGAATTTGCTTAGACAGAGAGGAAAGCTACAGAGAAAAATCAATGTTTAATCACACGTGAATATCGTATTTATTAACTGCCCTCTATCCACTAGAAACACTAAGAAAAACCTGCAGATGAGAGGGTGTAGTTTACAAGAAAATCCTTTGCTATTTTCTTTGGTCATGTTCTCTCTAACAAAAGCATGTAGCATTGTTGTTAGGCTACAGCAAGGGCTACGCAATTTTAAAATTTGGCTGCCCTCTTGGTGCACAATAAATGACAGAGAATGAAGGTTTCAGAATTTTTTGTGTGTTATTTAAGATCAGATAAAGAGGCCTATATAGATAGACAGACAGATAGATACATAGATACATATACATATACATATACATATTTACATATATATATGTGTGTGTGTATATATATATATATATATATATATATATATATATATATATATATATATATATATATTATATATATATATATATATATATATATATATATATATATATATATATTATATATATATATATATATACATATATGTATTATATATATATAATATATATATATAGATATAGATATAGATAGATAGATAGATAAATATATATATATATATATATATATATTATATATATATATATATATATATATATATATTATAATATATATATATATATATAAATATAATATATATAATATATATATATATATATATATATATATATAATATATATAATATATTATGTATGTATCTATGTATGTATGTATATACACTTTACATTACATTTTAGAAGAATAGTGCACTCTTTCAAAGTGTATGAATAGATTTGAGCTATTATAATCATAAGTAAAAGACCCATTTAGTCTTGGTACTCAAGAGAGATACGTTGTAATTTAGTTCTTAAGAAAGAGAAATCCTTGAAGAAATAAGAAATAATTAAATAAATGAAATATAAAAAAAGATTATCGTAATGTTTAAAGTTTTCTTTTGAATAAGTAAAATCATAATTAGTTTATAGAGAGTGGTTAAAAGATTATTTTAAAAGATCATTTGCCTAATTTGATTTCCTTTTTTGCAGGAGTTGTTACACAATGCTTAGTTATTGGGTATCCAGTATCACCAGTAACTTGAAGGCTGCCAGATTGGACGATGTCTAACAGCCATGGCAAATCTAGTCTTTGGAAGAAGCAAAAGTGATATTGTTAGCACCGTCAGTCATCATGGCAACAACCACACGGGGAAACAATACTACCACCCATGGTAATGTTGGCTGCAGTGATGGGAGTGCCAACGGCAATGGAAGCAACAAACAAGAGCGGGTCGTGTGTGATAATTCTGTTGTTCCTCCTGTGTGTGAAGCAGGCAGGGTGGGTTCTGAAGGTGGCAGGGGAGTTGGCAACCTTACATCCACTTACCAAGCGCACAGACAAGTGGCAGGGGGATGCAGAAGTGCAGCTGCGGCTCAAACTACCTACCATCATGGAGGAGGAGAAGCTGGAGGAGGTCCGAGCAATAATGGGGGAGTGGCTGTGTCCTCTGCCTACCATGCAGGAAGTGGTAGCACCACAGGGCAAGAAGGAGATGCAGCAGGAGCAGATGGTGCTGGAGGTGCTGCTGCAGGAGGAGCAGCAGGAGTGGTGGTGGTGGTGGTAGTTCCTCTGCAATTCCAACCACTTACCATGATGGAGGAGCAGGAGGAGGAGGTGGCAACGTGACAATTGCTGCCAGTGGGAGCGGTGTTACAAACAACACATCCTCAAGCTATCACATGGCTCATGGAGGAGGAGGAGGAGGAACAGTAGCAACAGGTGCAACAGTAGGAGGAACCAGCACGGGGAATGGAGCGTCAACTGGGCAAGTTAATGCCACAACCAGTTACTATTACACGCCCATATTGAACTCTCAGCAGACCCTCCTTAGGCCAATCATGACAGCACAGCCGCCTCTCTACTCGCCCCTCCTTCCACCTCAGCAACACACTTATGCCATGCCCCATGCATCACCCTCAGCTGGTAAGTCCCTTGAAGTGTACTGAAAACAATTGAGGTTATGCATTTGAGCTTGATGGTGATTTATCCTATAAGTTCCTTTTATAGTTAATGTAATTTATTTCCTTCCATTCACCTCATTCTGATTCCAAACCTAGTTTTCAATTTCTTGTTCATTTTTTGAATGCTTGGCTATGTTTCAGGCTCGACATATTTTGCAAACCTGAGTGAGAGCATGCGAGGAGGGCTAAGTGAAATGATCCCAGGCACATCAGACAGCCTCTACAAGGAAGTGGGACATCTGGGAAGACAAGGCCAGGGAACAGGCATCACCCACTCCTCAAAGCCTTGTGATGGCTCCACTGACCCTCGGCAGTATACCATGGAAGTGTGCCAGAGGAGACTACCTCAGGAGGGAGTTTACAATGGTGGGTCCTACCCATCATGTGGTGGGGAAGTGACGAGGCCCAGCCACACTACTCATCATGAGCAGAGGGCAGCCTATGAGGACTATTCTCGGATGGGGGTTTATACAGAGGATGGCAGTGGGAGGGGGTGGGAGGGGATGGGAAATTGTGGCACATCTCGGTCTACTGCTGCTGCCAACCATACTACCCACCCCTACACTTATTCCTATACTGATTGTCGTCTGGATGCAGCCTGGAACAAATGTGTGGCTGGAATGGGCATTGGTGGAGCGATGGCTGGAACCAGTGGAGAGAATTTCCCGTCACAGGAGCACCAGGTGGACTCCCCTCAAGTGAAGAGCACTGCGCGGGGCACCACCAGCCACACCCTGGCCGTTAATGTCAATATGGGGATGCCCTCTGGGGATGCCTCAATGACTCGCTCCCACTACGATTATCAGCCCTTGCCAGGGGCTCAAATTCCTCCCTTTCTCCCTTATCTCACGCCTTTGAACTATCAGCAAGTAACCGAAGTTGTAGACAGACGGGTTGAAACACGTACTGATCATAGAGCAGTAAATCGTTCAGATGTGCAGGTAAATCAATATTTTTTTCTTCTTCTTTTTATCTAATAGTGTCTTTGTACCATGTACAAATCTAGACATAAATGAAGTCACATGTGAGCATATACATCCTAAATATCTTGAGCTACATTTGTGCATGCACACACTCACACTTAACCCTGAGTAGCCCCTACATGACTTCTACCAGTTTTTGCCCTTCCTTGAATTTTTGGATTTTTTTATTTTATTAATATCAACACTGTTTATATTATTGCAGCCATTATGATTTTTATAATGTTATTAACAATACGATTAACAAACAAACAAGAAAAAACGCTGGTGAGATTGGTAGGACTAGTAATTGACTCTTTGATGACTAAGTACTTATGAAGCCATCTATGTGTAAACTAAAATAATAAACTAAAATCACAATGAACATGGTACAGCAAATCTTTGTTATGGTGAGTATGTCCCAAATAAAAATCTTCCATTGTTGATTCTTTTAGAACTGTGCTGGACAAGGAGCTTCAACAAGTTCCCGTCATCTTGAACAGGCAGCAGCCCCTTCAGAGAAGCATGTGGTCCACTCTTTACCACCAGCAGGCAATGTAGCTCCACCGATGTCCCATACTCAGCCCACAGACACCCAGAGGAATGTCAGTGGGCACATCAGTACAACAGCAGGCTCTCACAACACACACCAGGAGTGTCTTGGGCAGAACAAGAACATTGTGGTGGACCAAGTTCAGGTACTTTGAAGACACAGCTCTTTGTTATTAGTCTGTGCACTTTTTACTCTTATTATTTGTTGATAGCCATAATATATGGTTATTCTCTAGTCAAATTACCACAGGTTAAGTACTAAAAAGATTATCCACTTATATTCCTCCAGTCGTGCACTCATATGAATCTCAAGAAGAAGACCTCGGAAGCAGGCACTGACAATCAGCTGTGTGGCTCATGTAGTGGAGGAACTACTATAGCAGAGACCCAGCAGGGAACCATCAGTAATGCGAGCATGATTGGCAGTGGTGTTCTGGTTGTCCCAGCAGAAGGAGTGATACCGTGTCCCATTGAGTCATTGGTTGCTGCTGTAGCCAAGGTGGGTCCTTTAGTAAAGCTTCATGCATCAGAGGTAGTTATAGATTTGTTAGCTTGGCCCCCACATTAGCACTAGTGCCAGCTACTTATGAGCCAGGGCTAAATCTGAGTAGTGGAACCTGGACTTTAGATTCACAGGGTTTCAGGGTACACATACTTCTGATTTTCGCATTAGCTTACTTATGCAGGAATAGAACTGAAATATAATGTACTTTATTATTTCAAATGTAACAGTGAGTAGATATATCAATATGTATATAAATGTTTTTTTCTATAACATATTTCTTTCTGAAAAGCAAAAGGACAGTTATTGTAAACTCATCCACCTCCCAAACAGAATGAACCATCAACTTCCTTCAAAAAGAAACGAGCGGAAGAGGAGGATTCCATGACTAGTGGAGGCGAGGGACTCGTGTGCCTGGTTTGTGACCTTGTCATAGAGGGAACAAGCAGCCACCATGATGGGGGACAGAGAGGGACAGCGTCTTGTGAGGAAACAGTTGCCGCTTGCTCTATTGATTCTCTGGCAACAGTCATGTCCAAAGTAAGTCTTTTCTTTTTTGGATGGATTTGTAGATGCATATTATTTAGAGCATATTGGCAGCAGCATTTGTTTCTTTAACATCATTAGCAGTATTATTAGATTTATCAATAATAATATTTATAAATTTTGTATAATAACCATATTTACTGTAAAATTTCCTTCTGCCTTTATGTAAAATCAGATGAGCGTGGGAGACAAACTTGGCAGCTTGGTGGGCACTGTGCTGCCTCGTCACCTGTTGCACTCCACAGCCATCTGCAGCAAGTGTTTCCATCTCATCAATGAACTGGAAATTTTGGAACACAGATTGTCTTTGTATAGGTAAACTTGGAGGAATCTCTCTCTCTCTCTCTCTCTCTCTCTCTCTCTCTCTCTCTCTCTCTCTCTCTCTCTCTCTCTCTCTCTCTCTCTCTCTCTCTCTCTCTCTCTCTCTCTCTCTCTCTCTCTCTCAGAGATTGTGACACCACTGAAAGATTCTTGAAATTGTTCTGTGATATAAATATGCCTTTTTCAGCATTGCTTCTCTAACCCAGCCTTCCCTGAACTATCCAACAGGAAATATCTCAGCACAAAAGTTGAGGCATCCTGTGAGAAGCATGGTGTCAGGCTTAGCACATACAGGCAGCTACAACAGCAACAACAACAAGAACACCAACAACATCAGCAGCATCACCATCATCATCCATCACCACATCAGCATCAACAACAACAGCATCAACAGCACCAGCACAACACACAACACCACAGCAGCAGCATCAACAACAGCAGCAGCAACAACAGCAGCAGCAACAACACAACAACAACAGCACAACAACAACACAACAACAACAACAACAACAACAACAACAACAACAGCAGCAGCAACAAGCAGCAGCAACAGCAACAAGCAACAGACACAGCACACACAACACCAGCAGACCCACCACCAGCTCCTACAATACCAGACTGTGCAGCTGCACCATCAGCATCCACACCAAGGCACAGCTCCCACAGGACCAGACTGGTCACCAGTTGCAAGGGATGCAGCTCCAACATCAGCAACAGCAACATCACCACATTCCAGTTGTAGCTCTCCACCAGATGCCACAACAGCACCACCACCAAATGCACCAGCATTTGCAACATCAACAACACCTCCTAGCTGAGCAGCACCTTCATCAGCAGCATCAACAACAACAACAACAACAACAACAGCAACACAACAACAACACCATCAACAACAACAACAACAACAACAGCAACAGCAGCAACAGCCACAGCAGAATCACATTGCAATTCATCACCAGCAACAGCAAAAGAATCATGTGAATCCAATCATAAATTCAACAGTGGCTCAGCTGGAGCAACCTCAACAACAGCAGCCTCAACAGCAGCAACCCCAGCAGCAGCAGCAACAGCCTCCATCACAACAAGCTCAACCACAATCACAACAGCCCCTCAGCAAGCCCGCCACCAACGACAACACTTTGGTCTTTGTTGACTGTGATATAGACATTGAAGATTGTGACTGCAACCTCATAAGTGATCCTCCTGCCTCAATCAAAGACACATCTCATGAAGAGGAACTGCAAGAGTGCTCAGATATGGTGGAAGAAGAAGAGCCTAAGATCTCTAGCTCAGAAGTCAGTCAGATTACGTCCCCAGAGTCAGTGGACATAGGCTCCGTTGGCAGTGTTTGCCAACAGAAGGAGGACATAGGAATCCACAGCGAAGATGTTATTGACGAGCCTCCGGACAGCCACAGCCAAGAACAGACGAGTGGTCAAGGATACATTACTGTTGAAACACCGGAAAACAATGAAGCTGAGAGCTCACCAATCGTGTCCTCAACTGTTGTGCGAGATGAACCAAGGAAAGTAGAGGAAGCCACTGAATATCACAAACCTACTCTGTTGGCTAAGAATGTCAAAAGCAAAAAACATGCAAAGTTGCAGATTTGTCGTCAGTGTGACCAGGTGTTTTCAAACCGTCAAGCACTAGTCAGACACATTGAACGAAGGCATAAAGCTTATGCTTTTCATTTTAGCTGTGATACATGTCGTAAAAAATTCAGTTCTGAGAGGGCACTTACCAGACACGTTCAGCTTCACAAGACATACCCATGTAAATTATGTGATAATATATTCTTCAGGAAAGCTAAACTCAAGAAACACCTGGAAGATCATACACAAGACAGCTTGGCTTGTAAAGTGTGCTCAAAAGAGTGTACATCTCTCCAGGCTCTTATATCTCATATGAAAACTCATACACAGAAAAAGAAAGTAAACAAATGTAATGTGTGCTCCAAAATATTTGCAAACAACAGGAACCTGAAAGTGCACATGAGAACTCACACAGGAGAGAAACCATTTGATTGTGAGAACTGTGGACGGAGTTTCAGCCACCGTAGCAACATGCAAACACACCATGATACCTGTACCGGTCAGTTCAGTCATAGATGTCAGATATGTGGAAGAGGTTTTGCTTTGGAGTCTGTTTACCGCAGACACCTGGCTGAACACGAAGGGCATTACGCCCATCATTGCTCTATTTGTGGCAGAGGCTTTAGCAAAGCTTCTGGCCTACAAGCTCACTTAGCCACACACAACAGTCAGAGACCTACTTATTCCTGTCAGGTTTGTGGTCAGACTTTGTCAACACCATCTAGCTATGCTTCACACATGGCCAGCCACACAGGTGAAGGTGGAGCAGTATGCCCTGTTTGTGGCAAAACTCTGGCTAGGCGAGCTGATCTCCAGGACCACCTGCATCGTCACACAGGAACCAAAACACACACCTGCTCCCTCTGCAGTGCAACCTTTTATTATCGCTCTAACCTCAATCATCATGTAAGGACAACCCATAGACTGTTAAGGCCTCATACCTGCACTTTCTGTGACAGATCCTTTGCCTCTAGTTATAATTATAAGTTGCACCTTCGCACACATACAGGTGAAAGGCCCCATCAATGCAAGTCCTGTGGGAAGGCTTTTACTACTAAAGCTAATTATAATAGGCACCTAAAGTGTCACATGACCCAGGCAATGGCTCCTCTTGGTGCTGAGACAGAATGAGTGCCATAGTATTATCTAGCTCCAAAATTTTCTTTGTGAATGTCTTAAAACATATGTATTTGGCACAAAGCTCTGTAAATGCTACATTGTTCTCATATCAAATCACCTTTGGAATATTATCAATTTTCTTACTTTGATAACAGAAATAATCGATGACCAATTTACAAAATTTATTTGTAGTATGTAATTTAACATCATTATTTCATACTATATGCTTAGTTATTTCTTAGTCATATATTAGACATCTGCTGTATACCAGGATACAGTACAGCATTTAGAAATACTGAACTCTTGTTTTATATCTATAAAAATTGTACATCTGTGATACTAGTGGTAGGTAAACCTCTGTTTTGATGTTATTTCAGTTTGCTGTTATTTTTATTCCTGTACATGAAGGTTCTGAAATGTCATGGAATATGTTGGGTAATTGGATTTCAAATATTTATACATTGGTTACATTTGTCTTCCAGGAATTACTAGTCATGACTGAATAAAATATGGAAATATTGTTTATAATTTGTTGCCCCTTATATAACAGGAAAAATTATTCTTTTGTGATTGGAAATACACATTTAGAGACACCATCCAGGTGCAGAGAATGTGATTATATTTTTAGTTACCAATAAAAAAAGGCCAATGGTATAATACCCTTTGTGTCACTAAATTAACCTTATTTACTTATGTATAATAATAGTTGCAAACACTTCATTGGTTTACAGTAAAGCTATTAACACTCGCTAAATCTCATTATTTTGTATTGACGACTAGACAGCAAACCATAGCATATTTGTAATTTAGATAGATAAAAATAAAAAAGTAAAAAGAACTTCAGCAAAAAGCAATCAATATCATTATCATTAAATTATTATAGTTTTGAAAACATGATGTATCAGCAAGCAGCATAATCAGATGTATTGTTAGGTGCAGCTACTACAGGACTACATATCCTGTGTTATCTGGGAAATTTTGTTCAGTTATGCAAATCACCGCATCTTACACTGGTAAGAGGTGAAGCAAAAAAAAAAATTAGAAATGAGGCAATTTATTATCACTTGTTTATTCAAAATAGTGATTGGAAGTAACATTGTCATCATTGTTGCCATATATATTATCATTACTATTGTAATTATAAGAATTAATACTATTATCATAAATATTGTTATTAACACCATTATAATCATGATTATTATCATCATCATTGCTGATCAATATTATTATTATCATTATTATCGTCATTGTTATTATTATCTTTATTATTATTATGATTATGATTATTGTAATTGTTACTTTTATTACTATTACTATCACCATTATTATTATCATTGCTATTATTATCATTATTATTATTGGTATTACTATCATTATTATTATTGGTATTACTATCATTATTATTTTGATTATTGTTACAATCATTAGTAATATCATTATTACTATTATTATTGTTATATTCATAATTATCATCTTTATTATGATTATAATAATAATAATAATAATAATGATAATTATTATTATTATTATTATTAATTATATTATTATTATTATTATTATCATTATCATTATTTTTTATATGATCATTATTATTATTCTCATTGTCATTAACAATATCATTATCATAGTTGTTATCATTATCATCATGTTTATTTTTATTATCATTATTAGTATCATTAACAATTATTATTATTGTTACTGCCATTATCATATTATTATCATTATTAGTATTGCTATTGTCATTATTATTATCATCATCACATCATCAACTTAGTGTTTTTGAAGAGGGTGGAACATTATATTGCATTAGAATTATATTGCATACTTTCCAAAGTCACAGGTAATTATACTACATGGAAGGTTACTACATGGTCCCTCTTTTATCATGGGTTCCCCTTTGCAGTGTACAAGGAAAAGCCTCACCCCCCCACCCCGCTCCCTCAGTCCATTTTATGTACATAAATTTATGTGCGTGCTATTTGGTTATATTGACATAGCGATGATGATCAAATACAACCCTGTGTGGTGTGTGTGTGTGTGTGTGTGTGTTGTTGTGTGTGTGTGTGTGTGTGTGTGTGTGTGTGTGTGTGTGTGTGTGTGTGTGTGTGTGTGTTTGTCTTACGCCACTCCAGTTTGGAATGAGATGGATGGTGATGATGATAATGACGATACTTACTCAAAAAAAAAAAAAAAAAAAATAAAAAAAAAAAATAAAATTATATATATATATATTATATATATATATGATATATTATATATATATATATATATATATATACATATATATATATATATATATACATATATATTATATATTGTTTGTATGCGCATGTCTTTCTTTCTTTCTTTCTATTTTTTTTTATTTATCTAGTAATGCTCAAAGACCTCAGACTCAGTGCCACTTAATGGCTTAAGCAATATTTACTTTAGATGAAATAATGATGATAATAAGGGCAATGCTACTACTACTACTATCACCAATACCATGTATATAATAATTTGATAATAATATAATAATAATAATATATAATAATAATAATAATAATAATAATAATAATAATAATAATAATAATAATGATAATAATAATAATAATAATAAGAGCAATAATGGTAATAGACGAGTAAAAAAAATTACAGTTTCAAATTGTCACGAAAAAGGGAATTGTCGCGTACCCGTTGACAGTGACTTAGTACTGTAAACGTTGTGACTTTTTTTTTCTTTTCATGATGATCAACACTTTACCGAAAACTTTCCAGCCACTCGAAATATTTCTAATTGTTTCTTGATCTTGTTCTGTTATCTAATCTTATTTTTTCTATTCATCGGAAGATAATGATCAGCTTTACATGTAACATTCAATCTTCTAGATATCATATTCCGTTTTACGAAACATCAACAAAGAGAATTTTTCTTGTATCTTTTTCATTTTCTTGATTTATAGAAAATGGACCTGTCTATTCCTGTATTTCTGTCCTGCCTTTAGTTTAATATACAACCATGATTATTCTGTCAGCTGTGATTAATAGATATCACAGATGAAAAAGTTATAAAAAGTTAATTCTCTTTTCGTACTCCATAGATATCAAAGATGAAAAATGTTAATTCTCTTTTCGTACTCCTTCGCTGATTAATTTTATCCGTATCAGTATGCGACCTGATAACACCTGTACTGTCTTTTTTTTCAGTAGCTGTATATTAATTTTCCAGTAGCTGTATATTAAGATATAAAACGTTATAACCTTATTGTCATATTTTCTGGTCTTCGTCGAAGCAAAAGGCCTTGATTCCAGACGGTGGAGTTTGGTTCCCGCGCAAAAATTATTTGGTCAAATTCTGTCCGCGCAAATGTAGTTCTCGGGTGTTTTTTTTTTAATCATCTTCGCGCGCATAAAATTCTTTTGGCCTTTCCGCGCACTTGTTTCGTCATCCGTCCGCAATCCGTCGCGCAAATGTAGACAAAATGATGTTTTCCGCGCATGAAAAAAATGTGATATTCCCCGCGCAAGAAAAAGTACTGTACGGTCTGGGGCCATATTACATTTCCTATGGATTAGGTAATAGTATAGGAGTTATCTATAGCAGACAGTCTCTCTCTAAAACCTACCTGTTATCTTTGTTGGTTCTCATTCAATACCTTAGGAAGTCATATAATAATTTACAAATAATTTACAAATATTGAGCGACAGGTGATAAATGTTCATACACACAACACACACACACACACACACACATATATACATATATATATATAATATATATATTAATATATATATATATTTATTATATATATATATGTATGTGTGTGTGTGTGTGTGTGTGTGTGTGTGTG